GACAGCTAAAAATCAGCTAATTATCATGCAAATTAGGTAATTAATATTCATAGATTTTTACCAAAACTAATCAACTCTGCGCATTATCCCAGAGCATCTATGTACCAAGTTTCATCAAAATTTGATTAGTGGTTCTTGAGATAACGGTGGAACAAAAAAAGTGACATACATACATACATACATACAGACATACAGACAGGGTAACTGCAAAGACTCCCTTTTGTGCTTCGCACATGGGAGTCAAAAATCGTTCGCGTTTGTTATAGAGGGCGCTGGTTTATATGAATAAATGTCAACATGATGTAGCTTACTCGCTGCAGTAAAAAAGTTGTTATACCTCAACTACACAAGCCTACGGGTATACGGGCATAACTGACTGTCAGTGCGGAACAGCAAAGAAAAATGATTCTAAGAGACGCGATATTATTTCCCATTACGGTATTACTTTAGTCCGAGGAACCGGGCTTTGTTCGTATTTGCGACAAACCGTTGTAAAGTGTTGTAAATCCATCGACAGATTTGGGTGTTCTGCAATGCGAGACGCGCCGTATTTTGCTTGAAAAGGCTTATTGTGACAAACGGGAATATTTTAATCGGGCGACAATACGGGTAGAAAATCACTGTGCGCGAATAGAGTTAAAAAATGGAATTCACATACATCTGACGGCGATAGTCATTTAAAATAGACACCCCAAAGTCACTGTCATGGACAAGTTGCTTGAAACTGGATAGTCAGTAATAATAATAATAATAATTTTGAATAGAACATAGTCAAATACTATTCTAACAAACAAAACAAAACAAAATAAAAAAAGAGATGAAAACTAATACTAGTATACTGTTGACACTGGTTTAGAAAATGGCACTTTCGTTAATATAAATTGCCAGTTCTATATGTATGTTCCCCATAAATATACTAGTATATAAACTTTGCTTTGTTATCTAACATATTGAAATGGTGATTTGAGGTTTGTGCTGATTGATATAAGCCTCATTCTTGCTTCTTTGTGTTGTGGACAATCAATCAGAAAGTGAAATTACAAAAGGTTGGCCTGTATTTTGTTGTTTTCAGTGTACGAGTCCTCTAGACTAGCTTTGATAGATCCGTGCTTTGAGAAAGACACTTAAAACCCCGGTTAACCTTTTTTTGTGGTAAAATAGGGGGTCTGGTTACAAAAGTAAGGCGCTGTTACCGAATGTAAATAAGCTGTATTGTGTACTGTTTGAATCGTTTTCACGTGATGAGCGGTGAATGGTCTGTTGCTCGTTCACTAGCCAGTGTAACAGAAGGACTGACCTCGGCTTTCTATCCGACACCATATCTGACGAATGTCTTCACACTAGTACATAACAACACGCAATAAAATTTACATGAACGTACGTCCCCAAATAACTACTATGTACAAAATACATGTTGAGTGGCCAACAACAGTCCGATATTAAACATGTAGACATGCAAATAACAGGTACTAGTATTAAATATGTCCATCGTCTTTTAACAAAGTACCTAATGAGCGGCGGTATACGGTGGCGTCTAACCGCAAGTGATAGTAGTCCGCCGAGCGTGTGCCTGTCAGAAAGCACAGAAACATAAAGCCGGTAGAAGTAGTGGTAGCGTTCTGAGTGTAGATACGAGTGTGGAGACATAATCACGTCACCGTAAAACCTACCCGGCTAGCTGTCGTTAGCTTCATTCATGTTTATCGTACTCCAATTTTCAGTTTGTCAACAATGTGATTATGTTCACATGCAATTTGTATTTGAAAGAAATGTCACGGTGACCCATTTCAGGCCCTCGTGGTGCAGTGAAACTTGCGTATAGTAACGTCACAATCATTGTTATGCTAATTGCGTGACATTCATTCGTATGCAAATTTCGCGTGAATACAGTGGTACATGTACTAGTATTTTCATGTTCAAGTTGACGAACGAAAAAGCAGAAGTACAATAAATATGAGTGGAACTAACGATAAACGGGTAGGTTTTTGTATGATGTTTATCGACGTTATAATTCTGCACTATTATACATTTCTGCACGGCGTATATTTTGATTGACGACTAAAGCGAGCGATTAAATTCGGTCATGTATCGTCTCTCAGTAAAAGGAAGGACACAGTATTACACAAGAAGCGTTTATGTACTATTCATTTTGAGTTATAACACGGGTACTTTTTGTTTAGTTGTTCTAATCTAGTGATTTGTGTCGGGCAATACATATTTCGGGCAATGTATTCATATAAGTAGTAACAAGCTATGGTATGTGACCGCTATATTACTTGATCGCTTAAAGGTCGTACCGCACCCAAAGCGGCATATACACCTTGGTGAAAGGCCTTTCATTCCTAACCATGACTCATATTGTACTTTGCATAGTTTTGATGCACAGTTGTTCTACAGCTTAGGCTATACACACTGACCCAATCTGATTAAAATCTGATGTAGTGTATGGGCTTTAATTATTTTGGCTATAAACTTATTTAATTTTTTTATTACTTTTGTTATTAATGCCTTTTTATTTTATTATTTTACTTTGATTTTGTGATTTTTTTTTTAATTCCGCCCTACATACATCTGATCCGACGCCTATGTAAGTCCCGTTCAAATCTCACGTAAGTACCAGCCAATCACAGCCCCCCTTTTATACAGGCTGTCGGTTGATTACTTTTCAGTGTCGCGATACTCTACGGGCAATCTTTCTGTACATTATATTTTGTCCACTTGAATAAACCATTAATAGAAAACTGCTAGTATATTTTTATTTACAAAAGAAATTCCACAGCATTTTACAATTTGTGTCATTACATTGAATATTTGTTTCACTTCCAACAAATGTGTACACTTCCTGATACATCTTCGCCAGCCAAGGTTCGTTTATTCAGTCATCGCTTCAATTTTACATCAAACACTGAGCAAAATTATCTAGAATGGAAGCAAAAAAATAAGTAAATCGTAATGATTAGAACACTGTAAACAGCTATAGTAAACAATGCAAACTGATTTTAAATTGTATAATGGTCACCGGCGCACGGCATCGACGCAGAAAATTGGAGCAAATCAGCTCAATTACTTTAATAAAGAATTATTGTATAATGTACAAAATGTTGATACATTTTGATGAATATTTACAGCTACGGCTTCAGTACCGTAGACGATTTTGGCCCGATCGTCAACAAAACATCACCCGTCTCCAGGGCAAGCGACTAGTAAAGATACCAAGGTTCGGTCGAACGGTGGAAACAAAATCTTCACTCCCAGAATAACTACGCAAAATAACGATCTAAACTCGAACCATTCGAGCCACAATATAAAAATAAAAAAATTACCGTTGCATTTGACAGTGATAAACTTACCGAAAAGCCGTGTTTTTCTCGGTCGCCAACGTCGGTATAATCCGCCATTTTATTTGAGTGTGTTTGCCACCTGACTCTGCCCGGTGACGTCACCATGTGGGCTATAGAAGGAGGTCTGTGATTCGTTGACTAAAATCATCGATAGTGGGTCTCGTTGAAATCTCGTTACATAGTCATCGGGTCAGATGTATGTAGGGCGAAATTAAAAAAAAATACAAAATCAAAATCATAATAAAATACAAAAGTAATAAAAAATAAAATTAAAATAAGTTCATAGCCAAAATAATTAAAGCCCGTACACTGCATCAGATTTTAATCAGATTGACACTGACCACAACTAGTGTTGTCATGGGAATGTCTATTCTGGATTACTGCCATCATCGTATTATAATCACATTTGAGACAGTATCAGTTCGTTTTGCGCATTGCATCGTGGGAGTCGTAATAATATATTTAGATTGATGGTTTTAGAGTTGAAAGAAAATTACTTATATGGCCCGATTATTGTTTTCCTTGCTTTATGATGCATCCCTGTCTCACAGGAAAACAATGCACTTTTCGTATTGTAGTTGCGCGTCTGCATCGGAACTTGGGAAGTATGATCTCCAGCATCTTCGCCAGCCAAGACTATTTATTCGGCCGAAGCCTCAACATTAATCCTTGGCAGATTTCACTACGATTTATTGCATGCCGCACGCCCTCAAACGATTATTTGCATTACCTAATCAGATTACTGTGAAATACTTTATTTTCTCTTGCAATCAATTTTCGCTATAGGAATGATCGAGTGAAAATAAAATCCAGCGAATACAACTTTTTCCCATATTTCACATTCAACTCGCCAGAATTCAGTGAAAAATAAAACACCCAAAAACACTTGCCACAAATTTTCAACGTTGGAATAATTTTTTTTTTTCGAAACGTGTCAACAAATTTAGACTCTCTGTTCTTGACTACACGCCGCCATTTTTTAAATCTGTGATGAGCCCAGACGTTCACGTTTATGATACAGCAACGCTGATTGGTGGCCCCAGCCCCTGGGCGCGCCCAATCAAATTACTCAATTTAACTGCAGTGAAAAACAGCTTTTCCTTACACGATCACGCACGGGTTCGTGGGCCGGTTATGAATGACCGGCTTTAGCGAAACCGTGCGATTCGGACGATGGATTTCCAGACACTCAAATTGACTCAATGTGTTGTGGATACAGAAAGTTGGGACTTTTCCAAATTCTGAAAATGAAATAAAAACATAAAATATACAACATTGAAATATTCTGTCAAAGTAGTATTAGAAGGCAAATATCGTCACCTTGATGTATTTATCTCATTGCTAGTACTAAACTGGCCAGATTTGCATGTAATTCTTTTTCGTTTAGATAGAATTTTGGATAGGCTAGTTCTTTAAAATTCAAAACTAGCGACAGAAAAGAAGCCTAACGTTGTTGACATTTAATTTGCAAGTAACTGTGTGCTTCTATGGTGTCAATTTCGGCTCAGAAGTCGATGCAATATTTACCTGGTATACTCATGCTATACATTATTGTAATTAATTGTATATGCATAATATTAATTTCAGGATGTTGAAGCGTCCAACGACAACCCACCGACTTACGATGAAGCACAGAAAGGTTAGTCTATATCTGTGAGAAAGACGGGCAATCTACAACACTATGTGACTCTGTCGTATACCATGTTGACTTGTTACATTTACAAGAAAGTCTAAATAAACAAATGTATGTGTGTGTGGACTAATGGATTCCAAACTTAACAATATTGCAGGTTCCCTAACGTCTGTTTTCTCATGATATTATATTGAAAAAGCAATTGTGTGTTAATATGCCATAAATTTGTCGATTGAGATGCGCCCAAAAGTATTTCTCGCCGACGTGAGCAGAATTTCTCTTCTTATGGTTACGGTTTACTTTTTAATGGCACACACAGATCAACAAACTAGAATCATTGCAAAGTTGGTTTACTTGTCAAAAGTACCATAGTCTAATATTATATCACACCAGGCGTTTTCTTCTTTTTAAACATAAATTATATTTGCAACATCTCCGTTACAGATGGCTATGTTTTGATAGTTTATTTGCTTGACGGTTTGCGTGACGTACTATCATCTCTGAATATAATTCACTGCGTGGTTTTCAACGTGTACTCACGCTAGGCTACTGAAATTAAACTTACAGGTGCACCACCGACGTACGAAGAAAGCATAATGTCAAAGATCAGGACCGCTAAACGGGAGTCGGATGGGAACAAAGAATTTGTTACAAATGTTCTACAGATAATATGTGAATCAGGTGAATAGTTATTGTTATCTGCACTATCGCGATCCAGCACGCAGGTAATGTATGCAATGAATGTAATTGTTACATACAACGGTAAAAGATCAGGATCACAGTATGTGTTTGTATGTTCGGGTACGTACAGCTTTCAAGGTGTAATGTAACTTAAATAGAAATATAAGTAGACTTTACACACATGTTCCTTCAAGTCCAAGTTAGATTTTGCGAACTAAACAATATAAATTCGCAATATAAATTCCAACGGAAAATATATGTGGCCTTCAAACACAGAAGAATGGTCACAGACCACATATATAGATCAAGATCGCGTTAAGTGACGTGTACCCGATCATAACAACGCGACCATAAGACCAGATTTTAATATTAAAATAACTTGTAGCAGGTGGGCATCTTTTCCGAGTACTTTCTAGTTTATAATTATATATGCAATAACCACACATATGGTGCAGTGTGGGAACAGTCAAGGAATTTATTTTTTTATACGTAATATGATATACAAACTAAACTTTTAATGTTTTTTTTTCTTTTTTAGTTGCGTTGATGATTGGTTGCCTGGTTTGTACTGCTTTACTTACTGCTCTACCTATTTCGATGATAGTGATTGGTGAGTAAATGTTTACACGACACTATTGCAGCACACCGTAAACAATTTATGACTATGTGGGTGTGACGTAATTACATGTGAAACAAACAATGAAAAGGTCTTTATTGTATACATGTCTAAACATAAATTGTAAAGCCCTTGAATTCCGAATCAATACGACGCTACTCATAAGTATGTGCCTGATTGGCTGCCCAACCCCTATCAGTCGGACCAATCAGAAAGAACCTTGTTTGTTGACATGTTATTTTCGACGTATCGAATTCTGCCTTGTATACTGCACCCCATGCTAACCCATGCTAGTTAAGTGGAGCGCCAGACATTATCCTGGGTAATCATTCCATAATTATGAGCACTGTTTATATACTACAGGTTCCATGCATAAAGACGAGTGTAATGCAGAGCCGTACATCCCCATATACCTTATCGTTGCTGGGAGCTTTTCCTTGTTTATATGCGTCACTAACGTATGTGGCTGCGTGACAAAGCGTGGAAAAAAGGAAGACGAGGAACAGAGTACGGGTGCCACCGCGTGTGCGTGCTGTTTTACCTGCATCAGTGCGCTGGGGAGTGTCTTTTTGGTGTGTTGGTACATAGCAGGTGAGTAGTCACATGGCAATGACATATTACTATGCTTTATTATTATCGGGAGTAGAGTTGGTCATTTTGAAATGTGCATGTCATATTTCTATGTGTCAAACAGTCTCATAGATAGTCATTTGAGCAGATTAGTGTTGTTTTATTGCGCAATGACACATTTTCTACTCATGGAGACGTAATTGCATGTGTGTAATTTAAGTAACAGTCCGCACTGACACCATCCAACTTATAAATAGTACATGTACTCATTTCTAGTGTTTTCCCATTTTCAGGTAACGTGTGGATATACAAAGCGTATGAACCGTCATATGAAGACCCAACCGCTTCAGATTACTGTGACAAGACCCTGTATTTATTTTCATTTTGGTTTTTGAACGCCGGTTACATTCTTGCTGGTGTTGGTTTGTGTTTTGGATGCGTCATTGGTTGCTGTGCGAGTCGGATTTTGTCTAATGTTGACGAAGACTAAATACAGCGTTCTCACATAAGTGATTGAAGGAACCGTGTATATATTGCTGTTTCAATACTATTTACTATACGAGTTATTAATTTGTAGTCAATTGCATGACTGAATATACGTCATGGTTGACTACTTCATCACTGGATTATTTAATGTGCAACCCTTTCAAATAAAATCTTTCATACACAATTGATATCAGTGTTTCATACTTTTGCACATTGGGGGTTACTCACGCTGTAGATGCATACACATTAAAAAGAAAAAGTTTATATTTACTGTATTATCTCTGGTATATAATACCCTCTCGGCCCTGCTTTTTGTTTGTGTCAGACGAAATTCAATGAAATCCATCATGACAAATAAGTGTTGACATTCATCAAAAAAGTACGACTTTTTACTTGGCCATACTCTTAACCCAAATACACGAGTGTTACGCAGACGCAATAGGTATCGATATATATATACACAGCACAATTTTAATTCATAAATTACAGTATATCCGGTAACTCTATTCATGGTGTCACTCTTACCTATCAAATATATTACAAAGAGTGGTCATTGGCGGTCGTCATTAGGCCCTGTTCTATTTAACACCGATTTGTCAGGTTGCATTTTAACATCGAATTCATCTTTTTTTTTACGCTGACGATTCAAAGGTATGCATCACAATATCATACACCAATGACTGTAATTATCTATAGCGGACCTATATTGCTGCTCCCTCTGGTGTCAAGATTTGGAAACTCAAACAAATGTGATGCCATTGCTTTCTCTTGCAAAAAAGGTTAGTCGTGCATCAGTAGTACTTGAATTGTGACATGATTAATCGATTCAATATAATAAAAGACCTATGAGTTACCTTAATCTTAATTTTAACACTCATATCGTAAATGTCACTGTCGCTAAAGCGTGCATGATAGTTGGGTTCATAAAGGCTTCGTAATTGCTACTTCTCACAGGTATTGCGTCGATCCCCTAAGTAGCTTATAACAAAAACAGAAAAACAATTACTCGAATAGTTATGCATTAAATCTAACATATCTAACACTACTTTTAAATATGTTTCCATACGCAATTCTATGAATGACCTGGCGAAATCGCCGTCATCCATGTATGCTCCTCATAGCTCCTCATTGGTTTGAAAATGTATTTCCGTGTCTCAATCGCAGTCTTATACAAAGGATGTACATGATAACAAGTAGTGAAAGTGTATGGTAAGTATGAGTGATTTCATACGAAAACTACGCATGATTCGCGAATACTAAAATGGAAAGTTCGTGCTACCCCAAACGAATCTTATTTTTTTTTAATCTTATGATCTTCCATTATCTCATAATACATTGTATACTACTATACTTGACAAAATCTGCTCTAGAGTAAATAATTTGGTATTAAATCATTTTGCCGTCGCGTTTCCACAATGAATCCACCTAATCAACGTATTGGGAATAACATTTCCATCACACCAAAACTACGGATATTAGTGTTTAATTCTATGACCTATACATACAGAAATGTTTGTTTGGTGGGGATATTTACTGAGATTAATACTAAATACTGTAGGGTTATTTACTGTAACAGAATAGGTTGTATGATCAACCAAGTTTAGGTTATGTATAGCAGATTTGAGCATTATTATTGACATTTAAAAGTCTTAAGACAGTTTTCACTGTGTTTCTATTGATAAAATAATATGCAAATAGGTATTGGTAATTGCGGGAGTTAGAGGGCCTCAATGTTCGTAAACGCACACTTTAATATGATCAGCAACTCACAGACACGTGAGGCTGACGGCGGAGAATGCTTGTTAATATTAATTACCCCTGTATTGGGGTTTGACCTTCCTGATTCAACTTTCTAACCCAGTGACCTCCGCTGAAACTCGAGCTTTGATTCATTATGGTTTCCCATTATGCTGGACAACAGCCGTATTTCGTCATTAAATGTGCTTATTGTTGAAGAATGCTGAACCGTAACGTTTCGCCTTTTGAATTTCGCATCACTTCAGAAGTATGCGTTAAGTCTCGTGATGTATATGGGTGATTCACGTGCTTCACTGCTAGTGTAATGATATAAATATAGCTAGAGTCCCTCGCACTTTGTTAAACAACGCAATGGTTGACAGCTGTTGTCAAGATTATCACGTGTAGTTTTTCGATTGGTTTGGATTTCATCCAATATTTATAACCAGGAATACTGTATTTATATGCAAATTAGGTGAGATTGCAATATATTTGCATCGGTGACGAACTGAAAATATAGAGTAGTACGACGATGGATGCCGCTAACGAGAGCCAGGTAGGTTCTAACCTTTCTATATGAAGGTGTATTTGTTCCCAGAGTGTTAAATTATATAATAAGAACATATATATGTGCCAGATAGTACTATCTGATCTGCCGAGTTTTTAACTGACGGCTCGGAACTTTGTACTGTTTTCTCAGCAGTTGCTTTGTGTGCAGATATGTGAAAGTGTTCGTTTTCATTGGAACTTTGTGGACACCTTCTCACATATCTCTGTTCAAAAACCCGTGCAATATGTCTGTTTTGAAACTAATTTCTTCAGATGTAAGGTACCCATTGGACAAAAGATACATGGAAGTTTAGCAAACTATCTCCCCGACCCAGTGCAATGTATCCGGTTAATTCATTATTTGTGTTGATTGCCTATATATACTTACTTCAATACACGCTCGTTTTTTTCCGACCGCTGCTAACAATACCTTGTCATGCGAGGTTTATTATGGCCGCCATGTTTTGTTGACAATTGCAGACCAGACAATAACACGTATTCCAGACACGTATAACCGAGTGTTCATTGAAACGATCGGTGCCATTTATTTGTAGTAAAATTACATTACTCGTGTCGTGGTCGCTGATGATGTGTTGTTTTGGTTTTGATGGCCATTCACATTGCTGCGATGGGTGTTGTGTAGTTCCAATGTAAAAATCAACCGTGCAGCAGTCACGTGAACATAGATAAATATTACCGTTTCTCGCCCTGTGACGGTGGAACATATAATAACTATAAGCAGTATTGTCGTGACTAATGACAGAGAATGTCGCACTAAAACTAATGTCACTAAAACAAATGGCGATAGCGAACACGAATGATATGTTAACAAATTAAATGTGGCTGGCTGCCTTATGGTATTTAAAAATACAATAGAGTGGGAATGCCAGGGACTTTACATTTATGTGAGAATTACACCAGTCAAGGTATTTTCAGCTCGTGATACTGTTTACAGTGTGTTACAACGAGTATGACATCATTTGTAGGATTTTGACAAAGGGATAGTGTTTGCAGGACATTAATGGAAGTGTTACATCATTTGAAAGATGCTAATGGGAAAATGACATTATTTGCATATTGATGAGAGAATTACATCAGTTGCAGGATGTAAATGGGACAATGACACTATTTGAAATATGTCTCGTCTACAGTGGATATGCAAGTGAGTTACAATTATTGAATAATAAGACGTCCAAACTTATATTCTTGCACAAAAAGAGTATGAAGAGTCATGAAAGTACAGAGTCAACCCAAGATGATGTGCATTTGCTAGGCTTTAACCATTATTCCCAAAAATGTATGCCCAAAGAATAGTTTCTTTATTGATCGACACATTACAAAACTCATGTATCTCTGAAAGACATCGAAACCCAGTTCGAAAAGGTATGAAAAATCGCAGCGGAAATGACACCTTCCCCCAGGATTTCATTGGAAGTCTCTTTTATTTTCTTTGATATCAATATTTACCGCGATTGACCCTCGCGTTAAAGTCCGCTGACGTTTCCACTGGCTAGAGAAGACTTTCATTAATCTCCATGACCCTATAATATTATCTAGTCGATTATCTGCTCACGCCGAGGTTCATCTGACGAATTTGCAAAACATGTGAACTGCCAATTGCTCCAACAAATATTATATTTATATAAAATATTTATATGATTGAATTATAACGTTGGTGTTGTGAATATGACTTCCCTTGGAAAATGTGTCGTGTTCCTGCGTTGAATCTCGTGATTTGTGTTTCTTCTTTGTGTTTGTTGCTTGAGTAATATACATAGCAGGAACAGCGGTGATGCAATGGTCTATGCAATTGCTAGGGTTCGATAAGTATCGCATTGTTCGAACAAGTCATACATGTTGTAGGGACAATTGACACCATAATTATAATAATCATTTTATTTCTGCTAAACATACTATTAAAAGTTTAATTTTATTTTGAGAAATGGGGGTATTTGACATGTACATATTGATTTAATTACTCTAATTTCAGGATATCGAGGCGCCACAAGACAAACCACCAACACACGAGGAACCACAGAAAGGTTAGTCGAATGCAGTAAAAACAATGCGTAATCATCTATAAAATAGAGATTCTAGGACATAGAATCGGCTAGTCGTTATTATAATCTTATATGTTACACTCATATTATTAGTATTGCTCTGACTTTAACAAATGAAGCTACTGTATGTCTATATCGTTCACATCCAAGATGCTGTTATGACATTGACACATGTAATTATTAACTACATATGCAGTTTTATAACAATGACCAGTATCAGTTAATAACTGGGTATTACTCTACGACACATTGTTGAATCGTTTGACGCATTGTCTTAATTTACAGGTGACCCTCCGAAATATGGAAGCATCGTGTCAGAGATCAAGAAAGCTAAACGGGAGTCATGTGGAAACAAAGAATTTATCAAACATGTCATGGCGATAATAAGTAGATCAGGTGAATATCTTTTATACTTAAATAATTATCATAGTACAGATTACAAATAGTAGAATAAAATTGTGCTTGAGTGGTGCTTTAATTGAAGTAGTAAATGATAAACAATGTCCGTATCGTCTAGCTATTTAGAATAGTCACTTAGAACGATTGACAAATATTGTCTTTTATATATGACGTTATTGAGGGTTAATTTTACGCAGTACTACACATTAACTGAAGACTGACTAATTGAATAATGTATGTAGGTAGTAATCAAGGGTCATTTTAAGGCCAAACCATTGTATAAACTTGCAGACTTCAAGTAACTTTAAGCTACATTGGCCAATTACTTTAAAACGTTAAAAGATTACAATTGCCATTGTCACTAGTTAGTAGATTTACGTTTATTCAGGCTGAAAATTATTTAAACGCTATCTATCTATCTATCTCTCTCTTTCTCTCTCTTTCTTTTATTTGTTTAACACAATGTGAAACATTACAGGTGAACGTTCGACATGGAGTGAAAGAGTAGTTACAAAGATGAAGAAATCACTACAGGAGTCGCGTGAAAATAAAGAATATCTAACGCTGCTATGTTTTCCAGGTGAATAGCTGCACATGTACAGTAGGGAATGCAGACAGTGTCATGTAATTGTGTGTTACACAACATTTGATTGTGTTTTTTTAATGGGACAGTGAATGTGACGTGATGAGAAGTGCGTCTATTGTTCATTCGAACAATGCCACTTAATGTTCAAGGTCACGTCGATGTGAGGAGCATAACATTGCCAAAATTACTCATTGGTTGAGAACTCATTTTTCAAAATTTGTCAAGGCCATGTGTTATAAATATTTTACCCCAATATGTTTTAAGTGAATCAGTAATATTGGCCTTGATTGGCTGACTATTTTGAATAGATTCATGTATCATTATATATCATTGTGTCGTTCCTACTACTAAGAATTTATATCCCTAAAGCTTAGCTTTGTTTTCTGTTTTAGCCATTTTTTCAATCTTTGGTTAATACAAACTGATACTGGGCTTTTCAGTTTTTAACGTTTTTCCTTTATATTTATTTAGTTATGTTGATGATTGGCTGCGTGATTTGTATTAGTATCTTTATTGCTGCACCTATTGCGATGATAGTGATCGGTGAGTATACGATAAATGACCACGTGGAACATTTATTAATATCACTAAAAACCACGGATCAATAAAAGAATGTAAGCTACCAATAGACAAGAGCAATCAGGACCACGGTCTATGACTAAAATTAGAGATAGGTTGTATGAATTGTCATCATGTATCAATTTACACAATTTATCTTTTGTCTGAATTTGTTAATATTGTTTTCAACAAATAAACCCAATTTGCAGAAGTATGTGGAAAGGCAGTGTGATATATATATATTTTGTTAGTGATGTACTATTATTTCGTGATGATTTCATGATTATATTGACTATTCATGTCGCTTGTAGTTCAGGTTTTCCAGTCACCAACATTGAAGTTGCATTTAGGCAGTTTGTAGTCTTAGTTGATAACTTGATATTATACCTGTGAATTGGATATTTCCAATTAGACAAGAATGTCATAAAGACAATTGACATTTTACTTAAGTACATGTCGGATGTGTTCAAAATTTATTCAGTTGTCATTTCAGGAGTCCTTATCTAGACCATGCTGACTATACAGAATTACAGACATTATCCATGGTTATTATTCAATAATTAGACACTGTTTATGTTCCGCAGGTGCCATTTATAAAGACGAATGTAATGCACAGCCGTACATCCCTATATACCTTATTGTTGGTGGGAGCTTTTCCTTGTTTTCGTGTTTCATTTCTGGGGGTAAGTCCAGGTCTAATCGTTGCCAGACAAATGAAGAGGATCCACAAAAAGACGAATGTACATGCCGTAGCTGTATAAGTGGTCTTGTGTCCATCTTCCAGGTTTGCTGGTTCATAGCAGGTAAGTGGGGAATTGGGAATTGATTAGTAGAATTTTTAAATTATTCTTAATTATTTGTATTATCACCATTTTATTATTATATTATAAAATATACATTATAATATTTCTGCATGTTGTTAACAAAATATATACCTCATTGTATTTATATATATTATTTCAGGCAACGTATGGATATACAAGGCGTATGAACCGTCATATGAAGACCCAACATCTGCAGATTACTGTGACAAGACCCTGTATTTGTTTTCATTTTGGCTAATGAATGTTAGTTACATGCTAATTGGTGTTGGTTTCTGTGTCTGTTTACTAGTTATCTACTGTGTGTATTGCCGTGAGCCTTGTGATGACGAGGAATAAATTCTGTGTAATTGCTATAATAATACTTATTGTTTATATTTCGTACGTAATATAACTAAAATTACTATATATATTAATAATATATTATAGATTATATGGTTGTCATGAACATTACTAGACTCGGCGAAATGTTGACATGGTCTATATCAGAGCATTTTATTTTTTCTTGCACGTATTTGTATTTTTCTACTGAAAATGTCTCAAGCTTTTTTCTTGTACTTATATGACAAACGGTCAACACGTGTACTTTCCTTTTTGATGCACGTGTGTGTATTTGACAAGTTTTAAGAAAGTTATATCATAAAAATATAATAATGGATTATGTATATGAAGTATCTATCTGCCATATTTGGACATACAAATTAATAAATCGAACAATAAAATATTCCGGATTGTATGATTTATAAAATGATTTAGTAATACAATTTTAGTATCATATTGGCCTATAATAATGTTGGTGTTACAATCAGTATTAGTTATGAGTATATTGCCATTTTGCAAGTGCATCAACAGTCTGACTATAGTTGAGGTGTTTTATAATGTTTCATTTTCACAGAAAGAGCAGAGGGGAGAATTTGACCTTTTCCATTTGTACAGTTTTGTGTAAGTTTACTAGAAGTAAATTTTGTACCCGGATGCTCTAAGATAAGTGGGGATTGTTGTCTTGAAAGAACGCTAAAAAATTAAATCAATATTAGTTGTTTGCCAAACGTTTTGTATAGGCTGAATGATATTTCTTTTTTAGGCAATTTTGTTTCATGATATTTGTTTATTAATTTCAAATGTTGTTTTTAGAGTATATATGTCAAAGATGGCCATTCCCGCTTATTATATCTAAAGTAGAAGTGTAAAATATGGCTTTCAATTTCAGATTCATCGTACCAAAAAACATGTTCCCCAAACGAATTCAAAAATTTGGATTCAACATTTCATTTCAAACATTTTCATCACAACTGTGTTGAATGAATTCATCATTGAGGTGGGATTTGTTGTACAAGTTAAGTCGTCTGCATACATTTACTGGTTTAATAATTTGTTTAAAGATGTAAACACATTTTCATATTTTGATAATTGGAAATATAAATTCAACCACGTATGAACATACAAGTAAACAGAGTCTCCCTGCTTTTGCAATGTGGAAGTAACCATTGGATTACGCATATATTACTGTAACACGTTTTTACTTGGGGCAAACGAGTATTTTAGTTCATAATTCCTGGCAGGACGGAATTAATGCGTTTTACATTGGCTTTTGTAGCTATCTTGTCATTCGAGCATTCTATCTAAACATATGGCTACCAGTCGAAATAGTTGGTTACAATGTGGAAGCAACAACTCTAGACTATGACTTTACTTTTCAATCGACAGCGGTTTTACCTATAACTCTTCATACATATTCAAAGGAATATGTACTTGTATTCCAATTCGTTAATAGCCGTGTTATATTGTACTTGTTATTCCCATCTCATCACAGCGACGCGCGTTTTAGGTTTTACTGTTTATATCACGCTGCATTGTGAACATTTTCAAATTTCTCCCAACGTCTTTTCTTGGAATATACTACTATTGATAGGGGTGACGAAGATGCATGTTTTGAAGGGTTGAAGCACACTGAGCCGTAACGTTTGTGTTTTGAATATGACATCACTTGCTCTACACTGGCGTTAAGTCTCGTGTTTTGTGTTTACAATTCGTCTTTGTCGCCGTTTGAACAATCTCTTCACAGTTTTGCCAGCTTTTAGTAAAATTGTCACTTCGTTTGGATTTCATCAAAAATAAATATAACCAGGAATATTTATTTATAAGGTGGCCGGCAAACAGTGTACAGCTAAGATTTATCATCACGAGTTGTATAGGTCGAAGAGCTTATTGCAGCCAACAATTTACCCCACAGTGTTGCTTCAGTACTGAAACATATTTTTTTATACGTTTTTTTTTATGTCTTAAAATATTTTCTATATTTTTAGTGGGTTCATAAAAGAAAGATGTAGTCATTGAAGTCTATCGAGACCGCTGCTAAACTGTCACTATATGCATATTATTTTACCGCCCTCTAAAACAGATTTACAGTGAACCAACAAATTTACATACTGTAAGAAACTTGGTGGTATGCATTGGTTGGTGCATTTAATTTGTTTGATGCAATCATTGTGTCGGCCAGTTCTTATGGTAGCGATATGGGGGTACGAACATTCGGAAATCGAGAGGGTACAGACAACATTTTGTAGATATCTACTTAGCGTTAATAGTTGTACAAATCATGTAGCGATGTTGAACGAATGTGGAAGGCTGCCATTATGCTGTGGTTATTTCAAGCGTTGTATCTCATATTGGTTAAAATTACTTGAAGTATAAAATAGCTGGAACCCAAAACATGTTATATCATGCTTAAACGATTAGACAAGCCGGCAGACTTACTTGGGAAATCCGCATAAAAATCTCCTGTTCAAATCTGGTTTCGGCATTGTCTGGTTTGAAAAACAAGTTGGAGATACTGCAAATTTCTTAGAGATATTTACTCAAAGAATAAAAAAATGTTGTCAGCAAGAATGGCATGCCTCAATTTCACAATCATCCAAGCTGTATATTCGGAAAAATCAAAGTAGTATTATAACTGGGAGATTTATTGGCAAGCAATTATAGACTAAATATATACTGACGAGTTTTTCTGTTTTGGCTATAAACATAATGATGAATTAGGCAGACACACAAAAATACAGTTAGATCACTAAATTTTTAGTTTTTGCAGTCACTGTGATACATTTGAATTTAGTGTCATGAATTTGTTTTTGCGTATCTGTTGACCGACTTAATTAGCTGATTATTAGCTGAATTGCTGTGTTATGTCTGTCATCGTTTAGGCCTATTTGAAGTTTTGGACGGAACTTGGCTCAGTGATTTGGAACTAATTACCATATATCCGTCGCTATTCTGACAGTTGGTATCCGTAGTTATTAATGTAGTGAACGATTAATCAAAAGATATGACGTATTCAGTACTTAGTGTGATTGGCTTCATGATTGAAGGTTACGCCCTAGAGTCTTTTTACTGCATTGTAATTGGTTAGAGTTTTGAAAATGAATAAAGAGAGTTTGAGTTGGTCTTGGCGAAGACTCCACGAGAGACGCAGTCTAGAGCAGTCCTGGAGAGACTTGGGGCGAGTGTTGACGCAGTCTAAAAGAGTCTTGGGTCAGCCTTGCGAGAGTCTTGGGGACTTTTCCCCAGGGCGCTGTGTCTTATAGAGTGCTCCACAGATCGACTAAGACGAGAGTTGAAACGTATTTCGTTGTGTGCGTCTTATTGGACTGTAAAGTATAAGTGACTTTCCCGATCCCATACCTCAAGGGGACGAGATGACATTCACTTTGTTTTTATATGTCCATTTTATAATGATCTAAGGGCTGATCTTTTGTCAATAACCCTATGCAATTATGCAAATACTGACAGTCTGGGCTTACCTCGTCGCTACACAAACTGTCAGTGTCACACTATATATCAATTAGCTCTGTATCTTTTTATAGTTTTCAAG